GTACCAATTTTATAAAATATAAGTTTGGCTAAACAATCCTATACTTTGAAACTATCTGTATATTATATAGAAAATTAGTAGAAACAAGTTATAAGCTGTTCAAACAGATGCTAGAATTGGAGATCTAGACAGAAAACCTTCATTTAGCATGTGAGGCCATCTTTTGACATTGAGACATGATAATCTAACAGTTTAATTTGTGTTTTGTCCATGGACTTAACCTGGATAAGCAAAAAATTTTGAAACTAAAGTGAAATTTGAAAGGAAAGAAATACATCAAAGATATACTAGTTAATTGCTTGTTGTTCACTAATTGGAGTGAAGGAAGATGGATTGGACAGATGAAAAGCACCAAAGAAGATCTCTGATGATACTTGTGGACAGATGGCCTCTGATGTGTGATAGTGATGTAAGACATTCAGTAATGTAAGGAGCTGTTCTTCTACTTTTCACATCCATAACAGCATATATCAGTGATTCTAAGTGACAGCAGAAAAACTTCAAAGTAAAATATTTTTGATCCTTTGCAACATCATTGTGATTCTTTGAAAACAACCCTCAAAACTGTGTATGGATGTTAGTGTGTTGGTGGATGTGTGTGTATCCATGAGTGTATATATTTGCATATATGTCAGTGTTTTTATTTGTGTATCTCTATGTGTCTATGTCTGTAAGTATGTGTTTGAATATATTACAGTGTGTACATGTATGTGTGTGTATATATGTCTGTACATATGTGTATCTGTGTGTTTGTATGCCTGTATGCATATCCATGCATTTCTATATGTGTATTTGTGTGTACAGATATGTATGTATATGGGCTTGAACATATATATATATATGTCTGTGTATATCTCTTTATAAATGTGTGTGTATATGCGGGTATGTAAACCCCTTATGTGTATATCCTGTGTCTGGTGGTTATGTGTATATGTCTTTAAATTCTATGTGTATATGTATGTTTGTGTATGTGTGTCTATGTATATGAGTTTGTGTGCATCTCTGTGTGGGTGGGTGATGCAAAGACAGAACAGGATATAGTGGGGAAAAGAAAAACAATAGACATCTTGATTTTCATGATGGGCAATATATGCCTATCTTTGCTGGGTGTAACATCTTATCTTATCCATAATTCATAATCTTATGAATTCATATCTTATAAATTCATAATTCATAATCTATTGGAAAGAGTGAATGTACAATAAGATGACATACAAATTCAGCTTAGGTAAAGAAGATGAGTGAGGGGAGAAATCTTGTAGTACCTTCCTTGTGTCATTAAATTCATAAAAGAAAGGGCCTTGTATTTTCTGTTAAGAGTGCTTTCCACCACTGTCAAAGAAAAGAAAGAAAATGGTACAAATTTACAGCAGAGAATGTAGGATTTCCACCTATATTAAAACATTCAATTGCTTTCGGTTATAATAATATATAATATCTCCCTAAGTCTAATTAAATTTCAACACTATCACCAACTGATTTCACAGTGAACCTTCTAATCTGCCTAGTTCAGTACTGGGTAATTTGTCAGCTAAGGAACCTTTGAGTTGTGCAATGCACTTGATATTATAACTGTAGACTTTTCTTCTCAAAGATACTCAGTAATTAGTATTCACAGAGAAATGTTTTTACCTTTGCTAGAACCTGTGAAAATTTTACTTCAGAAGTTTGTAAGTAGAAAATTTTTCTAGGGACATTTTAATGTTTTCATTTTTTCACTCATATGATGGAGTAATTTTGTTGTCATAAACGTATGGGTTCTCTAGTAGTCTACTCAAAATTATCCCTCTTCTGATTACTTCTTATTTTCTTTAACATTTTATCCTAGGTAAGTCACTTAGCTTTCACATTTCAAAAATCTGTTAAAATTAATATATTTAAATTCTGGAAGTAATATATTTCTCATTTTAACAACAAACTGAATAGCATTTTCAAAATTATCTGTTGTTAAGTAAGAAAAGAATAGATCATGATGACTTTAAGCAAAAAATTTCAGAAGTATCATTGATACCATAAATATATTTTATTTATATATAATCAGAATCTTAAAGATATATCCATTATAGTGTTAGAAGGCAGTGATAGCTTGCCTGAATCAAGTAAGGAGAAAATAACTGCTCCAGAAAATGGTCAGTATATGGTATAATGAGACTGGTGGTGAATGTAGAACATAATAAAACTCAGAGTTCAGGTTGTGAAAGAATAGATTAGGTTCCACATAATGGATATAGAGGCATTTAGGTATTAATACATGTATGTGTATATATAGACAGATTGTACATAATTTTCGCATAAATTATTTATGCTTGTTTGCTGTTCCTTTATCTCTTAAATATTATGGCAAAAAAACTTGTAGCCTCAAAGATTTAAAACTTCCACAAAAATGCCATATGTGTATTTGTAGATTTGAACACACACACACGTGCACACACATGCACACTCATACACATACTGAAATAGAACATCTATAACACAACCTGTATTTAGTGATACTACAGACTATATAATTAGAATGATGTAGGTAAATATTATATATTTTCAGCTAAGCTTGAACCACATGTATAATGTGATATATTTGCAGTATATTTTGTAGTTTGACACTCAATTATAAAAGACAATAAAGCCATATAGCTGTGATGGAGCTGTATCTTAGTATAGTGAAAGTTGCATTTCTATGTCAATATACACTTGTTCAGCATTTTAATATGATAACAGAATCCCTAATAAATACTGTGGGATAAAGACAAATTTTCAATACTTCAGCTATATTTAAAATAAAGCTGTAGAGTCAATCTATTGGAAACTGTAGGAAGATGCATGGTAGGACCAGGAAACAAGTTCACCGCTGGTGATGAGAGCCTGAAAAGAATCACAGGTGATGGAGGAGATTTACATTCGAGGTGCAACCAAAAACACAAGTATTGAATGCATATTTTGATATAAAAAGCCATGACCAAATTAATAATAACAAGAAATCTAGAGACAGAAAAACATAATAAGCAGACTAGTAGGGCAATTATTTCATAGTGCCAGGGATTACTACCAGGAAAAAAAAAAACACACTTCTAGGCCAGAGTCTTCCTCTGTCGTAAGAAGTCAGACTCTTAACTCGCTCATCCTTTCTAAGAGACTTACCTTTCTACCTGATGAGTCAAATAGGGAAAGACTCTCCACAACACTGCCAATAAAGAGCAAGCCCTCAGAGATGCTTTCACCTCTGGAGTGTTTTGTAGGATTATTGTAGTTGGTGGGACTTGAGCATTTGGGGCAAATTTTCTCTGCTTTGGGAAGATAGTTGCTGAAGGTTTCTGATTGCTTATCTTTTGCTTCTTCTCTCTTGCCCTGCCTTTCTTGGACCTGCTTTTGGACTTCCAGTCTCTATGCCATAAGTGGAATCAGCAGGACCTGCACATGATGGACCCATCCAAGATTTGTTTTCCACATTCCAGATTTAGTAGCTGACTGGGTAGATAAGTTCATGAGTCCAGAGGAGCTCAGCAGTCATCACTTCCGAGAAGAAGAAAGAATCATCACGTGGGCCTCAAGATTCAGCTGTATTCACCCATCCATTAGTAAAGCTGAATTGAACCATCTTTTGGACATTGTGTGACATTGTGTCTTTTATATAGTAGAAAATGAAATTGTGCCATTATGATGGGTACTATTTAGGTCTTCTAACTTCCAATTTCATAACAAGAAAGTGATAGAGAAATTTATCTTTGCTGAAATTTGTGTATCAAAGGTTGTTTGTCATACACAGGGTCCTCACAGCCTTCACCAATAAGAGAGGCAACTAGGAATCAGTTCACAGTCAGTCCTATATTGCGCCTTTGGACACTAAAAAAAATCTCTTTGGAAAAGGCACCAAAACTACTTTTATGGTTACAAAGGAATATTTTTGATAGAGTTAAGAGATAACTTCTGTGGTTACTGTGTATAAAAACATAACTTTTAAGTTCCAGCACATTCTTCATCTAGCATATATCACCTTGCTTATTTTTTATCTACACAATTATGATTCTACCTACTAGCTTTCTAAGAAATCTACCTTTTAGAGTAGAACAATCAACAAAAAAAATCAAGAAAAACTTGGCATACTGGATAAGACCAATGCTCATTTTCTAGCCATGTAAATACTTTGTTCCCTAGGTTTAGGATTACCATATGCATTTCTGTCATGCTTAGGTTTTTACTTGTGCGATAAAACACTAGGATTAAACACTAGGATAAAACACCTTAGGGAGGGCAAGATTTGTTTGACTTTTAGTCCATCATCACAGGAATTCAACCAGGAACTCAGACCAGGGATTTGGAGACAGGAACTGGTGCAGAGGCCGTGAAGGAGTGCTGTTTATTGACTTGCTCTCCATGAGTTTATCAATCTCCTTTTTTATATGACCCAGTGCAGCCTGCCCAGAAACAGCATTAGCTAGACTGGGCTAGGCTCTCCCTATTAATCATTAGTTAAGAAAATCCCTGACAGACTTGCCAATGGGCCACATAAATCAACATATTTCCTGAAATGAAACTTCATCATAGATGACTCTAACTTATGTCAAGTTGACTGACCAAAAAGAAAAAAAATCTTACTAAAACAACTGATCACTTGTTAGTTTAACAGCGAAACATTATTAAAGCATACCTTTCCTTTCTGGTTTATATCTAAGATCTCATGTTAATGTCAATATCACAATGTAATATCACTTTCTAACATCTAAATGTCCTCTGCTCTTTAAAATTCAAACAATTTAAATGTTAAATCTCTTTAAAACATTCAATCTCTTTAAAACTTAACACCATCTCTAAAGTATATAATATCTCATAACTATAGGTTCCTGTAAAAAAACAAAAACAAATGCATTTTATTATGTATCTTTGTTTTTGAGACAGGGTTTTATTGGGTAGCCCTGACTATCCTAGAATCACCGTGTAACCCATGCTGGCCTCAGATTCACAGAGTTTCTCTTCCTTTTCTATGTGTTGGAGTTAAAGACATTTGCCACAGCATACAATGATCACTGTACTTTTTCACTCTTAAAATTGGGTTTTCTTTCATTTGATTGTGACTATACTCTGATTCCCCCCACTTGGAGTAAGAGACTATGTAACATTTTTTTCCTTGAAAATAGATTCTTCACTCACACAAAACATCCTAATCACTGCTTACTCTTCTTCCACTTCTACCAGCTCCTATCCTTCAACTTCCATCTTCCCCAGATCCTTTCTCTTCTACTTCTTTTCCCTTCAGAAAAGAGAAGGCCTCAAAGAGACAACAACCAAATAACACAACAGGATACAATAATCAAGGCAAAAGCCTTTATGTTGAAGTTGGACAAGGCAACCCAATTGGAGAGAAATAATTCCAAGAACATATAAAAGTGTCAGAGACATACTCACTCCCACTATTAAAAGATCCTCAAAACTACAAAGCTAACAGCTGTAACAGCTACAGGTACGGGGCCAGGTATAGACATTTACATGCCCTGTGCTTGCCACGTAAGTGTCTATAAGCCCTGCTTAGTTGATTCAGTAAGCCATGTTCTCCTGATGTCTGCCGTTCCTATTGACATCTACATTTTTTTGCTCTTAATATTTCTCTTCTGTGGTAGGGTTCTCTGAGTTCTGAGGAGAAGGACTCAATGGAGACCTAAAATTTAGATTTTCTTTCCACATAATGCATCTCTGTACCTGCTTCCATCTGCTGCCCGAGGAAACCTCTCTGATGATGACTAAACACAGCACTGATTTTTGAATATTATAAATAATTTCATTGATTTTTTTGGCCAGGTCTGTGAGGTTCTACCATAGTTCTCTGGACTATCCATTCTTCAGTTCCTGATGATCTAGGTAGTGTGGAGCATGGCTCCCTTTCATTATGCGTGTCTATAGTTACACTAGACATTGATTGTCCAATCACACAAGTTCTGTGTCACAAAGCAATGATAACATAAATTCCAATCAACCAAACAAAAAAACATTCCAGTATTTGATATCTGGGACACATTCACTTTCTTTTGGGTTCCTATTGAACTGGGAAAATCCACTTTTCTGACTCCACCATCCCCTGCACAGTGTGTCTCGCAGTCTCAGGGCAGCTCCAGTACACAACCACAGTCATGAGGATGCCTGGCAACTGAGGCTGCACATTTACCAATGGCTCTCCTAGACTCTCTTAATGGGCTCTTACTTAAACACACGGTGTCCTATTTCTACTACTTGAAAGGGCTGGTGGGGCAGACCAGAGCCAAGACAGACTCTTCTAATAGACTGACAGAGACAAGGTCTTAGTTTCAGCTTGCTAGAATGGGATAGAGTTCAACAGACAGCCCTCAAGAAAACCACAACTTAGGGGCAACCAATCAGCAGGCATCCTGCAGCCTTCTGCTAGCTTTTCAGGTGACCCATAGCCCCTTATGCTGGCTCAGCAGGGCCTTAATTTCCCTTTTCCAGATTAGCAGGCACCCCCAGACTTTTGCTAGCTAAAGATAGCTTTTCCGACCTTGCCACCAGAAAGTCCCTAACCACTAGGCCTCCCACCAATCAGCTCCCTTAGTAATCTTTCCTCCACCACTCAGCTCCAGATTAATCTCTCTGTAGCAGCGTAAGCGAATGCAGGCAGATTGTCAAAATATAGACAGCTTTAATAGAGGAATAGACTTACAGAACCACCATTGCCGCGGAGACCAGGAAAGCAGAAGCAGCGTATGGGAGCACGCTCACCAAATTTATAGGCTAACATTAGCCCGAGGCGAGCACGCCCCCTAAGGGGTGGAACTTATCCCTACATCTCCCCCTTTTGTCTAAATAAGACAGAACTAAACCAAATACAACTATATACAATAATAACAAATATTAAATATAACAAACAATATTGAGAATCAAAAGTTTTGCAAAACATTCTATCTCAAGGAGTCTAAATAATGTAGAGAGTAACTACAATTATATAATCTTCAACTCCATCAAAGATCTGAGAAGGGAATAAATATTACTTAACAAATGAGATATATCCAAAATGTGTAACAATTGACAGAGACGACTGACTACCTGGGCAATCACCCAAAGTCTCCTTTGCAATGTTGAGTCAAGCAACTTTGGCTAAGGCCTAACATAACTGACATACCATTATTAAAGGCAAGGGACTTTCTTAGAACTATCCTACCCTGTCTTGTCAGGATAAGACAATCATTGGCTAATAAAGAAACTGCTTGCCCTGATAGGTTAAAACATAGGTGGAAGAAGTAAACAGGAGGAAGAGGAAGTGAGGTAAGACTCCTCAGACAGACTCGACAGCTCTGCTCTCTGGAGCAGAGACGCCATGCTCAGCTCTCCACGGTAGATGCGGTAGCTCTGCGCTCTGAGGCAGACGCATGAAGCTCAGACCCAGGATGGACGTAGGTTAGAATCTTCCCGGCAAGCGCACCTTGGGGTGCTTACACACATTATTAGAAATGGGCTAAATTAATACGTGAGAATTAGCCTAGAAGAGGCTAGATAGAAATGGGCCAAGCAGTCTTTAAATGAATACAGTTTGTGTGTTGTTATTTCGGGCATAAGCTAGCAGGCAGCTGGGGTGCTGGGGACGCAGCCCCACCACTCCTATTACAACATCGCTCTTTCTTGGAATTCCACTAACTCTTATTAAAAGGAGTTTGTGCCCATCTTTGGGGGTCACCATGTGCCTCCTCACTGTAGAATTAATAAAGCACTCTAGTATATTATATATATGACAGATGGTCTTTTCTTGGGGGCTTCTCTTTGACCCTATCATTTGGTGCATTGTTCAGGAAGCCCCCGGCCCCGTTACCCAATTCACACTGAACGTTTGCTAGCTTGGCCAGTTGGTAAGTGTAAGTATAAACAAAGAGTGCTCTTTGTTTAGTTCTGTCGTTCTGACCATTACTCGTCCAGTCCAGGTTTTATGATTCTTTCTTTGGGAGGCTAAAGTTAACTGAATCTGGAAGCTAGGGTTTTGTCTGATGGACACATTAGAGGCAGCCCCACCGAGTGGTACAGGAGATGTCTTGGACTCACCAGGAAGGGACAGATGGTCCCTTTGGTTGAATGGGGGAATACCGGTCACTCCTATTGCAAAACATAATTCCCTCAGGGAGACATCCCATCAGCCTCTTCTGGTTCCTGGTTTCTTTATGTGTACCATACCAGTACATTTCTGTCAGTGTTATCTTAGTGTCTTTCTATCTGTTTGAAATGTTACCTCATTACATCTCTTAGGAGAGACTCAATTGATGGAGGAGGGTCATCTGTCTATGTGTTACTCTCATTGGTTAACAAAGAAACTGCCTTGGCTTTTTGATAGGGCAGGATTTAGATAGGTGGAGTAAACAGAACAGAATGCTGGAAGAAAGAAAGCATAGCTGGTCAGACGCCATGGAGCCAGCCGCCAGGTCAGACGTGCTGAATCTTTCCCGGTAAGCCACCATCTCGTGGTGCTACACAGATTATTAGAAATGCATTAACTTTGGAAATCAGTGT